GGTGACATTAATTTCTTGATGACCTAATAGTTTTACATGCTCTTACACATGCTTCATTTGAGCTGTTGGCTTCATGTTCTTTATGCCATCTTTCCCTGAAGACATGTTTCCTTCTTCTTGCCTGTCGTTGTCATCATTGATGTTTCCCTTACTTTCTTTCACCACACTTACTTCTCTATCCTCCCTAAGACTTCAGCTGCTCAGGAAGGTGATTTTTTTCGGTCTCCCTCACTTCTATGCTCATTTAGACATAGTTCACCTTCTGTGTATGGTTCAGGCTGTTTGGTGTTACTTAGCACATATATCTCCCTACTGGGGTACCCATCATCATCTGTTTCTACTTTGAAACCCCTCTTCCTTCAGGGACCTCTTGCCTTATACCCTTGTGGGATGGGTCCACCAAATCCTTGGTTGGTGTATTTTTTCCTGGATATTGATGCTCATAGGCTCTTTCTGTTTTGTTGCATCAGATTTATCACCTGTCTCACTTTTACTGACCCTTGGATGAGATTCTTCTAGCTAGCATTTAGACAACTCTGCATACATTTGTCTCCCATCATCTTCATCATCTGGTTGTTTCATCTCCTGCGGGATTTTAACTCTCTCTCTTTGCTGTTCTGCAATCACACCATCTTCAAGAAGGGTATGCTCATTTTCTTCTTTTTCCTTTTATAAGATCCTGCCAGGTGGCTGGTGTTACTTCCCAAAGTATGCTTCTTTCTCAAAATCTGTATTGGGTCTGGGGTAACTGAAAGCACTCAACCCATCCACCCTGGCTCTACTAATGCCCACTGTCGAAATGGGGTGTTCCTTAAGACCACTAGAGAGATATTCTTGTGGTATTAAATTTACTCTTTTTTTTTTTCCAATCTAGACCATACCTTCCATGGACTATCATGGAAAAAAAAAGTGGCACCAGGAAAATGACTGCCCACTTGTTTGCCTTGCACTTCCCAATTTATAAAAATAGGGTTTCATGATCACTCACTGCACTGTCTCCAATAAAGGACTTTTCCGGCAAGCCTCTGATAGGGATCTGGATACTACTCTGGGTTTCCTTCATGCAAATCCCCCCCCCCTTCTTCTAGTGGAGCACAGAAGACCCTTATTCCTTACCATTTCCTTACCGCTGGAGTACTGAGAGTCATCCCTCAAACAGCATGTGTACCCTCCTCCTGCAGCAGTATGAGTGAGACATGCCTAACAGTTTGATTGAACCCTAACCACACTACACTTCTTGCCTCACCAACTACTTGTATACTAGTGTTTGGTTAACCATGCTAAAATTCTGCCCATCTCTGCAACACTTGGAGCTTGTTTTTTTTTCTTCCATCTACTGCCAGGCTAAGAGTGTACCCTGGTTGAGACGAGGTGTGGGTCTCCTATGTGTGTGTGTCCCCTTGTGGAGCCCCTGCTGTCAGGTGTTGCATTCCATGGACTTTCCTTTTGAGTGTTTTCTGAAGAGTGCTTACCTAGGTTTAATGTTTGCACCAACCCCTTTACCATTTCACTGTGAGATTCTAGCTATTCTGTGTGAAATGGTGAGGTATTGTCTTGAAAATTAACATTTTCATCACCTCAAAATATATTTCTGATAGATACTAACCTCTACACACCTTTCTACATGTCCTCCTCACTCCCAATGCACTTTCTTCTTGCCTGTCTAGTAACCTGCACAAGATTCAAACCATGCTGTTGGGCTATGCTAGTAACTGGGATATTTTTATGTAATCTTGATCAATCTGTTATTTTATCCAATGATAACTATCAAATTTATAGTATGGAATGAAAAATTAGTTCAAATATTCTTTTATAAATAAAAATGCAGTATTCTATTTTCTATTGTTAAATTGCAGTGTCCTTGTTTCACTTTATTACCATTGTTTGAATTAAGTATGTTCTGAAATTGTTATTACTCTTTGTAACCAGATTACAAGCTAAAGTGATGATTAGGTAGAATTATGAGGAAGAATTGAAATACCAATGTGTCATATGAAATTCTATAGAGGTCTGAAAATGTGGAATTTTTCCTATAAAAATGGGAAAAAATATTTGGAAAGTATGTGGCCACTCTGTTATTATCCAGCATGATATTAAGCAGTTTCATATTTATCAGTAGTTATTAAAATAACTATTAAGTAAATAAGGTAATAGTATAAAACAGAATTTAAGAATGTTAAATGTTTCATATAACTAAAACAAAATATTACCTAATTTAATTTGTTTCTGTGTTTATTTAGTGAACACTGTATTATAGTAATTCATAACAAGAGCCAAGGGTGTGCCAGTCTTTGAATCTGTGGGTCTATTGTTCATGTCCCATTAACAATGAAAAACTGAGCTTCGTACTTTGTGACTGTGGGTGCATTATAAAAGTGACAGTCAAATTCTACTATTCAGTATAACAAGGAAGCCCCAGAATTAATGGTAGGCAGTGTTGACTAGCTGCCTTCCCTCTAGTCTACTACTACAAAATGTGGGGTGTCTATATAGGGACAAAATCCAAAACACAAGTAAAATTAATAATCAATTATTGGAAGGACTTTTAAATACAAAAATTTTTTTTCTATGGATAAACAAGTAAGCATGCTACCTGTTGATGCTAGGTAAACCTAGTGAAACACAGTGATTTTAATTCTAAGGGTTTTTGAACATATGTACTTGCTTACTTGTAAATTAGGAATATACTAATTAGTATCAAAAGAATGACTAATCATATGTTTTAAGCATTTTAGAGATAAAAATGTTACTGTACTTCTATTAAATACAGTTACATGTGAAATAATTTAAGATATTTGGTATAATAGTACTAACAGTTTTGTGTAAGTTTTAAATAAAGGACCTTGATGATATATGATTTTTATATATCTATTCAGTATTCATTAATGATTATTAAAGTCTGTATCTGAAATATTACATAAAATTTAGTTTAGTTGATAATACTGACCTACTGTAAACTAACTTAGTTTTAAATGCTATATTTATTTGCCACAGCTGTCTATACTCCACTTTGATAACTATTTTAAGCAGACATGGCATAACAGTTAGTGTGCCCAGACTGTGAAACTGGCTCATTACCACAAAGATGCACTTTAGGGCTGTTAATGTATTATAAGAGTGATGGTCAATTCTCACTATTTGATCAGATAAGAGCAGCCCAAGAGTTTGCCTTTCTGTCTTCCCTGTAGTCTACTACTTAAAAGTTAGGGACAGTTATGTACAGATAGCCCTTGGTGTCAGTAAACACTGTTCAACTGAAAACACAATTTTTATATCCCTTCCTAGTGTAATATCTAGGATGAGTTTGAATTCAAAGTGATTTCTTATTACTGGTATAAAAAATTTTTGTTTTTAATTTGTAAAGGAATAAGATATGTAACTTAATTTTGATGCTTAAAAATAAATAGAAATGTTTTAAGAGCATGGCTTTGACAAAGTTATTGAGATGACAGTAGTTTTCATATAAACAAATACTTGTATATTTTTCAAACACAATTTAGAAGGAAATGAGATTAAGTCTTATATTTGTTAGATTAATCAAATTATAATAAGTACTAATATACACAGGGTTATGAACTCACTGTGTAACTCCACAGTTGTTGCTTCTTTTTTGACCAAGCAATCATGACTTGAAAAACTCAACTTCTTAATGAATTGGAAAAACAAATCATACATTTTAAAGTGTAATCAAATGAAACATGTTATAAAGTTACTGTAAATGTGTGTATATATATAATATATATTGAAACTGAATTTACCTTGATATGTGTCTTTTGTGATCTTTATATTCCTATGATTGTAGATTTGGTACTGAGCAGAGTATGTTTTCATATTTTATAATCCATATATTTATATATATATATATACTCTATTGACATATTATTCTTATAATTCTAGAAAACTAAAAGGGATGTCAATAACTTTGATCAGGATTTCACAAGAGAAGATCCAGTTCTTACAGTACTGAATCCTGACCTTATTCGCACTATCAATCAAGATGAGTTCCGTGGATTTTCATTTGTTAATGAGGATTTAATGTTGGCTAGAAGTGTCTCAGAGGGGCCTGCTACGTAACATGTTGTTATTATTTTTATTTTATTTTTTTTCCCTCACAGTGAAAGGCCTACTTGTGTAGCTATTGTCACTGAAAGTTAATATTTCTTTCCTCTTTTTTGGTATATAATGTATAAACTTTGTTTCAATTTTATGTCTTTTAATTAATTCTTAATATATCTCAAAACTGACACGAGATTGTATTTTTCATTTTATTATATACTTTTAGTTAAATAATAGAGTAAGTAATTTATAGCTTCCAGACACCCATAATAATATTTTTTGCCTCATTGTTTTGCGGTGCCAATTAAGATGGTAAAAATGTGTATTTCTAGTCATGTTAATGCATTGCTTTCTTATTTTGCACAAAAATATGTAAGGTGTGTGTATAAAATTTCATCATAAGATTGACCAGGTTCTCATTTTAAACATATATATCACACTTAACACAATCTGATAAATAGATTGATAATTGGAATAGGTATTTACTGACTTAATTACCTGAAAAGGAATAAGTGAAGTATGACTTTTCTGCACAGATGGAACTATACTGAAAATAGCTGTTACTTGTAATTGGTTGGGTTTGAGCCAGTATAGTATCATCCAATATGTCATTTTGATCTTGTTAATAATAGTTATTTGCAAATTAATATTGTTGTTTTTTAAGGCATATAGCAAATAGGAAATGCTAATGTATTGATTGTTACAGATGTTCTGCTCCTTGCCAGTTTTTGAAAAATAACTAGAATGGATGAACACAAGTCTTTTATTAAAATCCTTTTTCAAAGCTGGTAGTTTGATACTATTGCTGAACCTTTTACATGTTCCCACTTTTAGTTATTTCAGTAAGTAAGAAGGTTATTAAAGAAAGGAGAAGAGGGGTAATTTTTTAATATTTATCTTTATAAACATTACAGCACAATTTTATTAACTATAAACATACAAGATATAATTGATATTACTCAGTGACTCTCTGTTAGTCAAGTAGTGATTCCTTGATTCACAGTTATTATAAAACTGACTCCTGATCAGATTTTTATTAAACAGATTTATGTTGTTATTGTTTGTGATTTTTTTTTATTTAAGCTCTGACCAGTATTTTTTTATTAATTTAAATGTTGAAAAGTTTATTCTTTACAGTGCTAAAGCAATTTAAATATGGTTGTGTATAGTGAATTTTGAATTTTTTGTATAAAACAAAACTGGATGTGCATATGTAGTAAAATAGATCATTGCTGCAACAGGAATTGTTTTATATCTAATGTATTTTTCATTTTGTGGTTTTATTTTCATAATGTACATATGCATAGGATTTTGTTGTTATTGAATATATGTCATAAGAAATTATTCCTAATTCGTAAAGGAACTAATTTGGATTTGAGAAAAACAAAATAATAATTGCTAAGGAGAACTCTTGGTATTTTAAGACATTTAGTCCATTTTCCATTTACAGTGGCTGAAATAATTATCTTTTGATTTAAGTGAAAAACAAAAGAGTGAATGATATAAGCCATTGAGCCACAAATTTTTTCCTGCACACATACATACAGACATGCATTGTTATAGAAGGTACTTCTTCATGCTTTTAAACTGTCTTTAAAAAATTAACTTTTTATAGTGTTCCATGACTCCTTATAATGTGTTTTGGTTAGTTACCAAAACTGAAGTAATTGTAGCAAGAGAATTTAAAAAAGCATATTTAAGGTCATACATATATTAATATATTTATACTAATTTGCGTAATATTTGCCTAATAATTCAACTTTTTAATGTACCATATTTTTTTAGGGGTAGACGAATCTTAAGTATTATAAATTTATGCTTTAGAATCTGTGTTCTTAAGCAATGTTGTGTTCAGTACAAGAAACTGTGTACTTAATGCTGTTTTGTTTGTGGAAATCAGTTAAGGAGGGTTAGTTTTTTAATAAGATTAATAGGACAGATATTTTAAATCTTGTTAGTCATGCTTGTGTCAGCTTATTATATCTTTACTGTTCATTTTTCCTTTTGATCTTCCACTGACCATGTACATGTACTATGCTAACTAACATCAAACACAGATTTATATTGGTATATTTTTATTTATTTATTATTTTTGCATAAAGTAATGAATTCAAATCTGTCCTGACCTAAACTATTTGAGATTAAGATTTAAATACTTAAGTAAGATCACCAGTAAGAAAGCCATGGCTATTTATCACTTTTTATGACTAAGATCTTCACATTTAATTTAAGAATATTTTGTAATTAAATGACATTTAGTTCCATATGAGTAAAATACTAGAGCCTCACCAGAAGCTGTAACCTTCAATAAAGGTTTAAAATAAAAACCTCAGGGAAATGAATGAAATATATATAGTTTTTCTCTATATGGTTATTTGTCATATATTTACAATGGCCAAAAATACTCTAGTCTACACTGCATATGTTGAAACTAAAAAATAATTCTTTAAGAATTGTTTTTAGGGTTTCACATATTGTAAACTTCTGGGAATGTTGAATTGAGTCTTAAATTGTACTCAATTATTGAACTGTCATAGGTATGATAATACCCCAAATTTTTAAGTTATAATTCATATTTTAGAACAATTGCTCTGTTAATATTACCTTTTTTTTCATACTTCTGTGTATATTTTTGCACAAACCATAACAAGAAAAGAATTAAGAATGTGTGTTTTTCTATGCACATACACACATAGATGCTATTTCTTATATCCTGTTGTAGCTTGCTTTTAAAACACAAGGGCACAAATTTTTATTTCTTTCAAATTATTTTTTTGCTTATTGTATGTTCATTGGTTTTTGCAAGTCTTATTAAATTTTCAAGATGATATTTAATCAAAGCTTTGCTACTGCTTTTTCTCTACCATATATTTAAGTCATGAGAAAAATTACATTAAGTATTAAACTTTAGCTTGGCAAGCTGGAATTAAAACCAGAAGTCTTTATTTACATAAGACTATGGGCTTTGAGCAAGAATCAATCTCATTTTTCAACAACATGTTTGGATGTTTTGAGACTTTTGAGATTTTGCTTCAGAACTTATCTAAAAAGGAGATTCATGTTCATAATTACATTTCAAGTACACAATAAGTGTACTAATTTATTTTCCTGTGCTGTTGCATTAACATTTTTCCTTCATGTACAAGAATAATTTTATTTAATTTTCCATTATTATTATTATTATAGAAAACATTTAATGTATACATAAAAGAATAACCTTTTTATTTATACATGAAATGTATGTGAGTCTGTGTAACAGATATATGAGCCATGCAATATGCACAAGTAAGTAGCTCTACATTTATATTTCAAGAATTTATAATGATTTAAGAAACATGAACAAACAGGTCTTGTTTTTAGGCTTGAAAGAGGCCCAGAAACTTTGTACAGGTTAACCAAATCAAAATGCTAAAACTTATGTTTAATCACACACAATGAAACTGGTTTAAAATCCCACTATATAGGATAAATCTTTGTTTCTTCTTATAATGGCTGGAAGACGGCTTGAATGGGTAATGAAGAAAAACTTTAATATAACAGCAAATGTACAACGTTTCGACAAGGTTTTGTCATCATACGTCATTAGTTTAGACACCAGCTACACCAATCACCCATCAACAGTCAATACTTCATTAGTTTAGACACCAGCTAACCAA